CGCGCCGCAGCCGGGGCTCGTCCCCGCCGCGAGCAGCGGCACGCCACCGTGGTTACGCTGTGCCGGCCGGGAACGCCTCTGCCTTTTCAGAGCGTTTCTGATGAAGAAGTGCTCCCAAAGGTGCTTGCAGACTAGGCTGCAGGGGCAGGAAAGAGCAGCACTTCCTAGGATGTGCTTTCTCCCAGCACGACCCTTGGATTTACATGATCCCCCTTCGTTCACAGCCTGCCGTTTTCCTGCCCTACGGTCCTCTTCCGTGTTCATTTTGTTTTTTCACTCTGAAAAATCCCACCTTCTCCTCAGCAGGAGGGAGGACGCTGCCCAGGTAGGATTAAAAACCGCCTCCGCGAACCACAAGGTGCAGAGGAAGCCGGCTGCTCTGCCGCGACGGCACCACAGCACCCTTCCTGGTTAAGCTAATGGTGAGGTCCTGGGGATCCCATGGTTATGGCAGCGCACAGGTGAATAAAAGCCAGTGTAAGTGCATTCACAGCTAGTTAATGCTCCTTTGCAACCAAGTATAAATGAATTCTCTCCTTACTATGCCACTACACAGCTCATATTCTGACAGTTTCCTTTTTTTCAGGCTACAAGCAGCACAGCCAGCAACCTTGAAGCCCGCGTGCAGTAAAGCAGGCCAGCAGGGACTTCATCACAACATCACTTCAAGTGGATTTTGCTTGTTAACACAAAGAGACCGAGGTACGAGAGAGAGGGCATAGCAACAGACATTTTTCATGTTTCAGGCTGCACTTCTGCTTTTTGTCAGAGTTTTGGGAAACACTGGTGGTACTGACATGCCTAGCAAGCTACCTTCAAAGGGAACAAAGCATCTTTCCTTAAGAACAGCTCTTGATTAGAACAAAAATAAAACATTTTTCAGCAGTATATGTTCAGCTGAGACCAAGGTGCAGCAGCAGAACGTGGAAGAGAGCAAACAAAGAAGAATAAATTGCCGCTTTCCCCTCGAGACACATGCTTCACTATCACTGCAGAGAGCACCAAAAGCAGAAGGCAGCGAGGAGGCAACCACAACGTGCCGGTAGTCAGAGCAGGAAGTGGTACCCGATGCCTCAGAGACCACCCAGTGTCAGTGTGGCGGTGGGGAAAGGATTTGAAAGCACCAGATGGGACACTGGCAGCCCAGTAAAAATCGGCATTCATTGCTGCAGAAAACATTGTCTCCCACTTCCGCTCCGGGGCCCCAGAAGAGCAGTAAAAGCACTCGACGTTTTGGAGGGTGAAGGGTGAGACCGGGCAGCGAGGCCCCCGG